TTTGTTTCGATGGATCCGACCCAACTACCATTACCGAATCCGTCATCTAGATACGTCACTACCACAGCTCGAACCCTACCGGACTCAGCGAGAAATCGAATTAGAGGAGAAAAGAAACATATACCAGCTTAACACAAAGGTTCTGAGAGGCCCAGTGGCGGTAAATATCCATGTTTAGTTATAACACACATTATCCGTATGATGAGACATCGGAGAAAAATTTACATGCGTTACCATTGTTAAGTGCACCAAGCGCCATACTAACCGTCACGATAGGAATCATCGTCCAAATTTCAGGTTGTCATAATGTGTATCGTGGTAGTCAATGATTCTTATCTATCTGTTTCAATATCAAATAAAAATCCACGTTTTATGTTATTTATCAACACTTTATCATCTTTATTGGTGAAAAAATAATGATCAAATATTCGATTTTAGAAAACGTACTGATATTGGGTTTGTTTATCGTTGAGTATTCTAGATAAAGCGGACATTTGCATTTTGTCGAATGATATTCATTTGTTTGCAATGGTGTTCAATATATTGAGAAAATGAAAGTTATAATATATTCGTCATGCACAGATGTAATAGTTATCCCGCGTGCGTCCGAGTACATAAAGAAACGTCATAAGTAAGATGACGAAGGTGTGTGTGTGTGTGTGTGTGTGTGTGTGTGTGTGTGTGTGTTTCAAATTCGAATGTTTATGTGAGTGTTTTAAAATCTAGATGTTTGCGTGTTGTCTAAGTATATCAACAAACCTGCTATCAATTTCCGTTTGAATGAGACCTCACCATGTGATTTAAAGGGAAACAGAGCTAGGGTTAATTCCTGGACCAGTCATTCACTGACCCGTAAAGTTCAGTACCTAGGGCATATTGCGCACAACTATTAAGAGCTCCTACGTGAGCCCTATTTCACACTGAAAAATAGAAAACTTCAATGTTAACCGGTACGACAACTAAACTGTGACGGGAAGTTGGTCCCGGTAGGCCTCCTCCTGTTCCATGTCTATGAATTAACAAACACCAGCCTAACAAGGAACTGGTAGACTAAAGTTAGGTTTTAGCATGCATATCTTATAAATCATGACAGTAGGCTTGTATAGAATAAGTATCATAAATTTGATTTGATTTGTATTGCACACATTTAGAACAAATTTGTTACTGTAGATAAATCAAGAACATCATGGAATTTCAGTTTACAAGAAATATGGCATTAATTTAAAGCTCTAGTTTTAAAATCGTAAAATTGGTTACACGTGTGTTATGCTGCAATCAAATGCATGTCCTTGAAATTTTTGTCATGTTTCTCACCAATTGAGTGGTAATTTAAAGGACGTTATTTGTCGCCCAGATGTTGACAGTCCATTATCTGGGGACCGTTAAAAAGTTCCATCAGCATTAAATAGATGTTATTTCAATGTATCATTGTGTCTTATGCTTTGTGTGAATCATAATGATCTCAATGATTAACATAAAGCTATAATGTATGATATCTGAAGCGACGTGCGAAGCGTTGACGTAACGTAGTTCAACATGGCGCCTAAGTGACGTCATATGATTGTCTCGTGACTTAGAATGTATCTGTACTCATTAGTTAATGGCAGGCCATAATTACAAAATGTACATTTAAAACTGTTACTACATTTTTACCTTTCAATCCCCAAAATTTCGTCGATAATGTCATCTCCGGATCAAGACTCTCTGTTCCAGATGCCGTATCCAGAAATTTCCAGAAAGATATCATAATCGTCGTAACCAGTATCGGACCGGTTTTTGTACCGTTCAAGGTTCAACTTCATAAAACAAATTAAATAACGGTTATAATAAGATTTTTGAAAGATTGTTTTCTCAATTTATGAAGCAATTACATTTATTTCTTATAACGCCCACAGATCCTTGCTCTGTAAGCACAAATGTTATTACTGCAGACTTGAAGGAAATAGAGAAGAAAACTCAGGATATGAAAGCTAGACATAATGTTCAATACAACCCGTGATAATAGAATTGAACATCCTCTGGGGAAGGGAGATTGGACGGCACTCATATCTATCACCGTCGTGACTGCAGACCCACAATACATGCTCTCCGGTCCTTGACACGACAAGGTCTTGGTGTCGATTTAAAACGGGTGTATTGGAGTATTTTACACACTAGGATAAATATAGTCTCAGATACCAGCAAGTCGGTCATGTGATGTTTATATCGATCGACTTTGAAGGGTTCGGGTAAACCGGATTTCCCTTATATTCAGTGTTCAGGAACACGTGCCTACATTACCTGTACACACGTGGAGTTATATGACACACGTCTGCTCGAGTTGACAGCCATACTATATCTACTGTTGTCCCTAATTTATGAACAGTCGAATGGGACTTCTTCTATGTGTTAGCCAACAGGTGGGTGTACACGCAGTGATTACAGGTGTGTCAATGGATAAGTGGTTTTCAGCAGGACAGTAATGGGGAACTGTATTGGAACGCAAGAGGTGACGGACTTTTATGTGTATGTCCGAACAGGAGACCGGAAGGGAGCGGGCACAGACGCTAACGTGACGATAATTCTGTATGATCAAAATGGCGGGAAGTCCAAAGAGTACCCTCTTGACAACTGGTTCCGGAATGACTTCGAAAGTGGCAGCACGGATACATTCTCTGTCAAAAATCTTCGACATTTTGAGTCGGTGTCAAAGGTGGAGTTTTGGCGGGACAGTAGTGGTCTAGGGGATGCTTGGTACGTAGAAAGGATCATGGTGGAAAGTAAGTCAACAAAACGGATGTTCGTATTTCCGGTGTATCGCTGGATAAAACCCGGGTACCATTACGTCATCAGTCATCTAGACACGTCATTGCCCCAGTTTGACGACAATAAGGACCAGAGGACTATGGAACTCGCAGACAAAAAGGAACTCTACGCTATTGGGGTCAAGGTCAAAGGCCTCACCGCACAGGTAGCCATGGTAACAGATCCATCAAGGACTAACACGTCCATGTCGCCATTTGGTGGTTTCTGTATTATTTTTTTATCATTATTATTATCTTTTTCCCACTGGTAAAAGTAGTCGACTTGCATTTTACAAAGTCGCAAATTCTTTCAATAAATCTTTAACACATTTATATGAAATGGGATACGTTGTAATTGTTGTGTAAGATAAAATTGATATGTTTTATATCCTGTGTCCTAGTTTCGAACGACTTCTTAACAAAAGCTGCCATTTTCACGGAAAAGTTGTGTGCCATCTAAAGGTTAAATAAGTGTACTACATCTTTGTAAGTGCAGTGAGCTAGAAACGCGTATAATGGACGGGAATTCTCAATTAAATGCATTTGTTATTTTCAATTCAACCATCTATTTCAGATGAATGATGAAAGGTTTTATGAGGATTAAAGGAAATAAGTTGATTAACTTAGAACAGTATACGATATGTTACATATACTTAAATGTACTGTAGATAATCCTAGATAAGCGGACTCAGGTTATAGCTAACCTGCGGACTCCTAATCCCCCTTACAGTACACACCACACATGTTTGTTAGATGATGTAACGAGTGAGCGGTAATTAACGTTGATGTGACTATTTGATTAAAACCACCTATATTTACAAGACTGACTCCAAGTTTCACCAGACTGTCTTTGTCAGCGCTCCTGACAGGAATTCCCCCATGTTATGTCTCTCGACAATCCTTTCGTTATAATCACGATAATTATTTTTTCTGTTACATTGTCGATATCGACATTTTTCCTCCTTAACGAAACATTTCAATCAGTCTCGCTATAGACATCATGATTTGATAAGTACAAACGAAGCAGAACCCTACAGACAAGATATCAAAGTGTGTAAATATCTTGAATCGAATTGTCGTCACACAACTTGACTTGTGACACCACCGTGTTCTACGTTCCGATTAGGGTCGACGCTCAAAATTGTTGTCGTCTATTATTTGTACAGGTGTCGTGGAAAATCGCTGTCGTCTGCATTTGATACATATGATACGGGAATTCCCTGTCGTCTGCTATTGACACATGTATCATATAAATCCCTTGTTGTCTGCTATTGACAAAACTGTTTTATAACAACAGACCACAGATGACTTTTTTACTGTGTATATCCTAAAAGGGTTTGAAAATAATTTGCGATACAATAAAAATATCTTTCAATATATATTTTAAAAATTAAGCATCGTTTGACGTATCAAAAATTGTAGGGGTCTGATTTTAACAGCTTACCTGATCAATATACTTAACCACAAAAATCTGAGATGTATTAAATCAATTCAACTTTTGATTGACAAATATTAATTTTCTGAAAACTCAGCGTTGTATTCGTCTCTGGCAATTAGACAAAAGCTTAAGGACTCTCTACCACTTACCATACATTCCAAATCTGAACAGACCGCTTATATATGACACTTTTCTGATAATAGAAAAAAAAAAAAAAAAACGGAATGTGGGGTTGGTAATGTTGGTCAGGTCTCTATGGTTGATCAGATCAGAACAATACTGATCTATGTTACAGTACGTAATATACTCTTTTACACAATCTTGCTCCGAGTGGAAATATTATTGATAATATTTTTGAAATATTACCTATCGGGAATTTTAGTTATTTATATCGTTAGCAATGTAAAAGTATATATTTATGATGCACGTAGCAAACTCAAGTACTCTGAAAATTTTGCTTTTTCAAACTAATACAGGTAGTTTTTTCTCTCTGCAGGCCATACTCTGAAATCAAGAAAGAGAGATATTTTACCCTATCAGCATCATTAGCTACTTGTTCTACGTGTTGTGTATTGAATAATGAAAGTAAATTTAGAAGAATAAACAGTTGCTTTGCATCATTTATCATATTTGTTACATATATCTGCTGGTAGTTAAATATCAGGCTGTGCCAGATATCCTAGGTAGAGGTAGTGAACCTGCTGTCTCCGCTGGTAATTAAGGTGTTTATATACTGTTGGCCTCAACTGATTGATAACAAAGTTTTTTTTATGTTTCAGGTTAAACAAATTCCAGACGATGAGCAGTTTTCTTTTGATTACAAAGTAAGTTACTATGTATATATACTGTAGTGTATGTCGACGTAATAGACAATTATGTTCTGACAGACTCCTTTCCTTGTAGAAAATTTCCGTACCTAGTTCAGTTCTTGCACTGTCAACACACTCCAGACTTTGAAATTCTGTTTTATCCACTGTTTATTGAATACCTGGTTATTTCAACAAAGTCATATATATATCAACTAATCTGAATTAATAATATTACTCCTTATTATTCCGGTTTTTGAAAGGAAGGGGTGTAAAAAATTAACATAAGGGGACGACAAACCCCTGACAACATGGCCCCGATAGGGAAGGAAACAATAGGGTTCAGATAGGGGGATGGGGCAACATGGCCTGATGGGGGAAGTGACAACATGGCCTGATAGGGTAGGGGACAACATTGCCCTGATAGGGGAGGGGAAAACGTAGCCTGATAGGGGAAGGGAAAACGTGGCCTGATAGGGGAAGGGACAACATGGCCATGGTAGGGGAGGGGACAACATTGCCCTGATAGGGTAGGGGAAAACGTGGCCTGATAGGGGAGGGGACATCATGGCCCTGATAGGGAAGGGGACAACATTGCCCTGATAGGGGAGGGGAAAACGTAGCCTGATAGGGGAAGGGAAAACGTGGCCTGATAGGGGAAGGAACAACAAAGCCCTGATAGGGAGTGGACATCAAAGTATTGATTTTACAGACTGGGGAAGGGGTGGGGGCGGGGGGGGGGGCAACAAAATACAGATAGTACTGACATGGGGAGGGTGACAATAATGTCCACAGAGGAGGGAACGAATTAGGAAGAAATTTTAGCTACTCTGAGATAGAAAGGATTCACGAGGCTGAATTTTTAAAGATATTTTCCTTCATTATACGTATGAATATTTAAAAAAATCTTTTAACAAGTTCTGATTCAGATTCTGATTTAGACGGAAGTGTATAAAACGAAAAAAAAAAGATGAAATTGTTTTGATGTTTAAGATGTAATTATGTGGGCAGTGATTATCTCAATATACAGTGTTCCATATGAATGGTTTTCCATTAAGTAGACTACACATTACACAAAACAATATATCATACGGCTGGTTTATAAAATTGGTGAATTACACACCCTAACACACATATAACCTGCACATGCGTGAAATTTTCAAAAGTTTGTTGAAAGAAATATGTGAGTGATTGCGAAGGTTTGGAAGCTGAACAGACAGGTTTATGTTATCTGCATGTGATCTGAGTTGAATCTATTTCCGAGTGTCTTGCGCTCAATCTGATATCTACATCACTACTCCTTATAACCCCCCCCCCTTCACCAAAGCTTCAGGAAATTGTATCATCAAGCTATATGCTATTCCCCTGCCTATTTCTCTGGCCGTCAGAGCTGGTGGTCGGATGAAGAATTACTCACATGTAGGAAATGTGTATTTTGTCGAGTTATGACAGTGATTATAACTGAGAAAAACATGACCCAGTTACAGATAAATCTTATACGAAGGGATATTAAAACTTACCAACCTGTAGATAATCAGAGAGGTTCGTATGCAGCTGATAGGTCAACTATGCGGTTCATTGGTTCGGACACGTAGGGAGGAGAGGGTTTATGATATTTCAATCATTCTGATATTTATAAATTATCACTACAATTCTACTAACTCTATTTACAGAAGTGAAAGCAGTTACTCCAAACAGCCTTTAATTAATCTGAAGATTAGGGTACAAGCAGGTTAACAAGGATACTTACAAGCAACTTTATCAACTTGTTCAAAACACCCCCTTTGTGTTGCAAATATATGTTTATCCCAAATGTAAACATATCAATTAAGAGTAATTAAGACTTTATTGCTAATATAGCGGGTGATAATATAGCAGGGTTGTACTGAGATGTAGCAGGGCTGAACTGAGTGGGTGATGATGTAGCAGGGCTGTACTGAGTGGGTGATGCTGTAGCAGGGTTGTACTGAGTGGGTGATGATGTAGCAGGGTTGTACTGAGTGGATGATAATGTAGCAGGGTTGTACTGAGTGGGTGATAATGTAGCAGGGTTGTACTGAGTGGGTGATGCTGTAGCAGGGTTGTACTGAGTGGGTGATAATGTAGCAGGGTTGTACTGAGATGAAGCAGGGTTGTACTGAGTGGGTGATTATGTAGCAGGGTTGTACAGAGTGGGTGATTATGTAGCAGGGTTGTACTGAGTGGGTGATAATGTAGCAGGGTTGTACTGAGTAGGTGATGCTGTAGCAGGGTTGTACTGAGTGGGTGATAATGTAGCAGGGTTGTACTGAGATGAAGCAGGGTTGTACTGATTATGGGTGATTATGTAGCAGGGTTGTACTGAGTTGGTGATGATGTAGCAGGGTTGTACTGAGATGAAGCAGGGATATAAAAAGTCTGACATAAAGTAGCAGGGTTGTACAGAGTGGGTGATAATGTAGCAGGGTTGTACTGAGTAGGTGATGCTGTAGCAGGGTTGTACTGAGTGGGTGATAATGTAGCAGGGTTGTACTGAGATGAAGCAGGGTTGTACTGAGTGGGTGATTATGTAGCAGGGTTGTACAGAGTGGGTGATAATGTAGCAGGGTTGTACTGAGTAGGTGATGCTGTAGCAGGGTTGTACTGAGTGGGTGATAATGTAGCAGGGTTGTACTGAGATGAAGCAGGGTTGTACTGAGTGGGTGATTATGTAGCAGGGTTGTACAGAGTGGGTGATAATGTAGCAGGGTTGTACTGAGTAGGTGATGCTGTAGCAGGGTTGTACTGAGTGGGTGATAATGTAGCAGGGTTGTACTGAGATGAAGCAGGGTTGTACTGAGTGGGTGATTATGTAGCAGGGTTGTACAGAGTGGGTGATTATGTAGCAGGGTTGTACTGAGTAGGTGATGATGTAGCAGGGCTGTACTGAGTGGGTGATTATGTAGCAGGGTTGTACTGGGTAGGTGATGATGTAGCAGGGTTGTACTGAGTGGATGATAATGTAGCAGGGTTGTACTGAGATGAAGCAGGGTTGTACTGAGTGGGTGATGATGTAGCAGGGCTGTACTGAGTGGGTGATGATGTAGCAGGGTTGTACTGAGTGTGTGATGATGTAGCAGGGTTGTACTGAGTGGGTGATGATGTAGCAGGGTTGTACTGAGTGGGTGATATATGTAGCAGGGTTGTACTGAGTGGGTGATGATGTATCAGGGTTGTACTGAGTGGGTGATGATGTAGCAGGGTTGTACTGAGTGGGTGATAATGTAGCAGGGTTGTACTGAGTGGGTGATGATGTATCAGGGTTGTACTGAGTGGGTGATGATGTAGCAGGGTTGTACTGAGTGGGTGATGATGTAGCAGGGTTGTACTGAGTGGGTGATAATGTATCAGGGTTGTACTGAGTGGGTGATGATGTATCCGGGTTGTACTGAGTGGGTGATGATGTATCCGGGTTGTACTGAGTGTGTGATGATGTAGCAAGGCTGTACTGGGTTGGTGATACAGAGATTTAGGGCTTATCTATTAACATGTTGATTACGTAAAATGGTACCTGATCATTTCTTTCCTAAAAAACTTTCCTGTAACGTCTCCCTTGAACGACCACCTTTGGCCTTTATCGGGCGTTCGTACTTATGAAGAATTCTCTGGGTTTTATCCGCTGGCCAGGACAAACCTGAGTCTTTAAAATGCTAATTATGTAACATGTGACCGGCTAGGATGTGCCTTCGGTCGTATACTTCAGAGTAGCAGCAACATAAGTTAACTTCATTACGCACTATCACAAGACAGCTTATCACAGCCTGCCAAAACACACTCATTCGACTGTCGTAAAGAGCGCGGTTATCCTTAAATGACCATAGAAACTAGTAGGACGTGAAACAATATAAAACCGAACAAAACGAGAGGTCAAAGATTACAAACCATTTTAAAACTCATTTATGAAAATATTAATTCAATTCTGACGCATTACCACCTGTATAACTTTAGTATCTTTCTTTCACAGTGGAACATTGCAACGAGGAAAATCAAGATGATTGCTCAGAGCAAAATCATTAATTTAGTGAGTGGCACCTGGGAGAGTCTGTCTCATCTGAAGAATGTTTACACCTCAGAGATCCTTAAGGAACCAGCAGTAAGTGAACTTTAACCAACCCTAAGAACGATTCCTGTATATTATAAGTGGCAAATCGTGGATTTTTAAAGAAAAGTTATGGGATTTTTTCCCGCCCACTTAATAAAAACAATGCTTAACAAACAAGAAAAATACAAACTGAAAAAAGGAGGCCCGACTCCAGTTACTCAAAGTTTGGTTATAGTTAACAATTGGCTTTTGAAAAAAATGAATATGGACCGACATTTCACATCTGTAGGTTTGTTAATACAGGTCAGATACATATATATATTTTTTGAGTGTCTATTTTGTTTTAAATGCCAATGCATTTCCCAGTTACAACAGATATTGTATTGTTAACATACATTTGAGCAAAAGAGGTCCGATCCCTACCTTGAATCGCCTCTAATTATAACCATTTGACGCTTAATTTTGAGTTTTGAGTCTTAAAGCTCATTCATATTACAACGCAATCTATAGCACAAAGATATCAGAAGAAACACAGTATCTAATTATATACCAAACCATGGAATATATAGATAGTAACATCCATAATAAATGTATACTGACGAACCCGGCTAATTATTAGCACAGACAGTTGATAACAATTCAAATGATAAATAAAAAAAATCGTTTAAATGTTAATGGTAATAGTTGTCACTTCTTTTTACCGAATTAATCCATAAAAAAAAACAATTGTCTGGATAAAAAAACCTTCATATTTAGAAAGGCCTTGATCTACATTGACTACTGTAAGAATCTAAGAGTATATATATATATATATATTTGTGTGTGGTATATAACTGAAGAGTGATTAGTTCTGTTTTTCTTGACAATTATTTTCTGTTTTTCTTTTTGGTGGAAAATTGATATTGTCTGCCATAAACTGTAAGAGATCCTGTAGTTTCACACACGCCGCTCTATCTTATCGTTTACGTTCAGTGTAGCCTCTATCAAAGACATTAAAAATTCTGACCAACAATTCAGCATAAGGCGAGATCGCGTTGCTACATAATTTATACATCTTTTTTTACCAAGCTTCATTTAATCTTTTACCTGTTTGTATTGGTAGCCATAAACTTTGTCTGTGTAAATAAATAAACACTGTAACATTTGGGTATTATGACTACTTACATGTTCATTGTACAGGTCTGAATATTTTAGGACGATACATGTTCATTGTACAGGTCTGAATATTTTAGGACGATACATGTTCATTGTACAGGTCTGGATAATTTAGGACGATAAATGTTCATTGTACAGGTCTGAATATTTTAGGGTGATAGACGGTCATTGTACAGGTCTGAATATTTTAGGACGATACATGTTCATTGTACAGGTCTGAATATTTTATGATGATGCATGTTCATTGTACAGGCCTGAATATCGTAAGGGGATAATACTACCATGACTTGCAGGTTTATGTGAATATAGGAAAAAAATATCATTGGAAATTAGTAATCTATCAAACGACAGAAAGAATTTTGTTTGTTATGCAAAGTCTGAAATCTAAATCATGCAGTGAAGCTTTAACTGTGACTTACCAGGACACATACTTGTAGTGTTTAGTGAACAACGCACATAAAGCTGAATATTTCATTTATTTGTGGGTTAGGTCATCTCTCACTTAATATTACCAGATCTTTTAAAACATTCTTGTCTTTATCTATAAAAGTACAAAAACATTGACCTACATATACGACTATGTGCAGATGAATCTGACTACTATTACATTTTTTGTGTAGATATGAAATGAAAAAATAGCAGATGTAAGATTTACACTAAAAATGTTTTATGAATTTGAATGAATATTAAACGTACAGAGAAATGTTGTTACTTGTTCACCGCAGTGAACACAAACTAATGCATGGTTTTACTCTAACTGTAGCACTGGAACTATCACCTCAAAGGCAAGGTAGACAATGCTATAAAATTTATCTTTACCTTGGTTCATGTATACCATCATAAAGCTGGGGAATTTTGTAAATACTGTTTTTTTCCTTCACTGTAATCTTTTAAATACCGCCACAATGTTGGAATTAATGGGGCTTTATTTTCGGTGAAACTTTGTATCTGCCACCACATCCAGTTAAATTTATGTACTTTTCTTAACTAAAAAATTGTTAATTATAACACCATACAGATAAATGGAGGAAGTTTTAAATCTGATGGAGTAAATACCACCAACAGCTAATTATAGAATTTTTCGGGAGACTTGCTATAAGTATGTAAATACAACCACACAGGATGTGAATAGTAGGGTTTTCTTTGCTGAAAACACTGGGTGGGAATGATAGGATTTTCTTTGTTGTATGTTTGTAAATAGAGCTGAGTAGGCGTAAGGTAGGTAATGTAGGATGCTGTAAGTCTGTAAATACCACCACACAGGGTGGATGTGATAGGAGGTTGTTGCTGTAAGCTTGTTAATATCACCATACAGGGTGCGTGTGGTAGGATTTTTTTTCTGTAAGATCGTTAATGATAATTTACCTGCCGTGACAGAATTGTAGACAGCATACCATGTGTTCACTGGGCTGTGATATATACTTTTCTCTTGGTTGTATTAGTAATACATAAAGAATGACATTGATGTAATTCTTTTGTTAAATACACACATCATCATCATCACTACACATTTTATGACATCAAACATTTGAATAAATTCGATAAAAGTTTTAGTATAATTCCTGCATTATTAGTCATAACATAAAAGCAGATTGTTGAAAGTACTTCATGCTTGAGGTATAAGCCACATGTCACCCCATTCAATAGTGTGGATTCTTGTGTGGTCGTATATTGGCGTCATCTTCTCCGTCTGTCCGTCCGTACGTACTTTTCTTGTGAACGCAACTCCTCCTTAAACTAATCATCAGATTTTCACGAAACTTGCGTAATGTTACTACTACATTGGGTAGATGTGCATGAAGGGGCGATTTTTCGGTTCTTTGATTTTTGTAAGATTTTTGCCCATTTATGATCTCTTCCAGCTAAGCTAACTGGTCTCACAGACCGAGCTTATGTATACAGACATGTTAGAAGCGATAATTAAAAGGACCAGTCTTGATCTTTATATTTTGTGACGGCGTATATTGTGTCCATGGCACTCTTGTTAAATTTGTTACATTATTTTTCTTTGTAGAGTACCACCAGGTGGAGCAATGACATCTTTTTTGGACTCCAGAGAACCGCCAACATGAACCATTCCGTTATCAATCTGTGCACCAAAATTCCGGAAAAGTAAGTTATCTTAACTTAGCAGATAACAATTTACATACTTTTAGTTTTCAGTTTACTGATACAGATGTTTTTTATGATGAGACATGAATTAATTGAAGTTTTTTTGGGGATACAGTTGTATAACATTACAGCTCACTATAACATTATATAACAATATGACAAATAGATAGGTTCAGAAGGTCCGTTCACGATTATACAAAAATCAGTCATGTAAAGCGGTTCAGAAGGTCCGCTTTCAGTTTTACAAAAGATATTCATGTCCAAGGGTTCAGAGGGCCCACTCTCAAATACACAAACGACAGGCGTGTCAATGAATTCAGAAGACCTACTCTCAAACGATTCATAAACCCTACTGTCCGTCTATTAAGATGGTCAATCTCTCAAGCGATTGAGAAGGTCATACTCTTAAGCATTTCAGAAGGTCATTCTCTTAAGCGTTTCGGAAGGTCATACCCTGGTGATTCAAAAGATCATACTCTCAATGGATTCAGGAGGTCATACTCCCAAGCATTTCAGCAGTTTGCATTCAATCGATTTAAAAGACCCACTGTTAGTCTATTCAGTTGACCCACTGTCAAGCGATTGAGAAGGTCTAGCCTCAAAGATTTAGAAGACCTACTGTCGAGAGACTCAGAAGATTACCTTCAGTTAATGCAGAAGACCTGCTGGCAAAGGATTCAGAAGACCCACTGTCAGGTGATTGAGAATGCCTTCTCACAAATGATTTAGAGAGTGAGAAAGTGCACTCTCAATCGATTCACAGATGCTTGTCAAGGGAGTTAGAAATTTAATTTCTAATTTTACAATATGAAAATGCAAATCACAAAAAGTGTGACATTTAAGACGAAATACGGCTCCATGCTATTGTATCTGTAATGTGATGCTAAAGAAGCATATGTGCAATACGTATACACGTATGATTGTATCCAGATACCGTAGAACATCTGGCTGCATGGCTTGTGGATTTTTTTACTGCCTGTTACATGTAAACCTGCCTTAGATAATGTTGTTAATTACAAAGCTATTGCCTTACAAATGGTTCTGCTGACATCCCCTCCCTATCTATCTACACCTAGCCTTACGTGTATAATTTCCTGGGTGTCTGTTTACTTAGAATTGACATGCTTAAGATGTGGGAGATACCGGCAATGTTTTTAGGCACACGGTTGCAACATTGTTATTTCAATTTCAGATTTGCGACATTAACATTGAGTGATGCTAAAGATCAATTTGTGCCATGGCGAATGCGTGTAGTATTTAGTTAGGGTTGGTGTGAAACAGCATTTTTGGAAGATAAGGCAAATCAGAAATAATAACAGTATAGAAATGAGACATTAGTATATTTTATGATGCAACATTTTAGATTTCTGTTACATCCTTACAGGTAGGATATACTATATATACATATCGTATATATGTAATATCAGTCTAAATTTACAACCCTTAAGTATTATTAAGTTGGCTGGAAAAGGTCACATTCTGTTTATTACCCCTTGTTTATTACCACTTTTGTGGTGAAGCTCTATTGCGTGTTCAATCTTACTGCCATCTAAATACTTCCTTGTCAGGACGGGCAGGATGGGAAGGTATTTACATAATGTCAATAAATGGGAAAAAAATTTAAAAGAAAAAAAAACAAATCTGGGTTTGGGAGAAGGTAGGGATTATTTACATCGGAAAAAGTGAGCAAATGTATTGGACGACTTACTTGTTTGATGAATTGTTATCTTTTTTGTTGTTGTCTTGTGCCTTTCATCCCCTCATAAGTTTACACAGCACTTGAGTATTATCTCATCCTTTACCCATTGTGTTATTTGATATCTTTGAGATCAGGTTCCACATTTGTCGTTCAGATGACAATGTTTGAAGTCTTAGTTATTTTCTTTTGTTTTTAAAACCGAATATTTCTTTTTTTGACCCTCCACTAGAATTGATAAGATATCCGCATTTGATCTTTCTGACCCTGAATAAACATTGACATGCCGAGAGAAAAATAGTTGAACAGTCTGGTGGTCAACACTTGAAACAGATTCAATTAGACTGTTTGGAATCAAAGACGCAACAAAATGGACGGGTCCCTTGTATTTGATTGCTGTATTTATTAACAATTAGAGTAAAATAATTTTACTACTACATCAGTGTCATAAGCTATTTCTTCAGCTAATTTCAAAAGACATTCAGATGTACAGCATTGCGCATTGTAGAGACATCTTCCTGTAAAATTTTATATAGATACATTCATTTTCTGTCTACGAGACAGATGGGAAAAGAGATCGAATAGTTAAAGCTGTTATAAAACTGCAAGTGGATATTCCCTAATGAACCGTCGTTTTTATCATTTTTCGTGTTAAAAAAATAAAGAATTTTGAGGAAAAGCATGCAAACGAGCGTTTTGTTATGATATGTCATTAATTACCGTTCATCACTGTAGTTAGATCTAAGGGAACATATTTTGAGGAAGGTAGTGTAGTTCTTATGTAAACTTTCAGATAGAACGAAACATGTTAGACACGTTCTAATGTTTTTGGCATTGAGCTATGTAAGATATGGTTCTGTAAATCGAGAGGTTGTATGTCATAGTTTTAGTGCAGAACACCTAGAACTGTATACAGTATATGTTTATTGCATCTAGCTAAGAATAACAATTTGTGTCAATCTGTGCATTTTACTTTAAATACATTTCGTTGCCAGAGGAGTTGTTAAATTTGAATGGTGCACAAGGAAATGTTCTACTCTTATCAGGCAGACCGACCGACGCTGTATTGGGTTGAATAAGATGGATCATAAGTCCCTCTCAATATGAATAAGGATATATAAAAGTTTAGAGTAAAAAGAAATTAACAGTAATTCGTAAGGTGGTACTGTCAATGCTTGAATGATAAATTTTTTAATTGTTTCATGTAGTGATGAGGTGTGGACAAACTTTTAATTGTGTTTAACATAGCCTTTGCCAGGAAGCGGAAAAGAGAATGGCTCTGAGTGTCGAGGGAAGTGGAAAGAGAGCCCATAAAATTGAAAGTCATCTTATCAGAGAGTACTTTATAGAACCACTATGCTGAACTGTAGTGGGAAAGATACTTATACAAGAACATTGTATGGTATATACATTTTAGGGACAAACCATACAGAGAACACGGGGTACTTTTAAACCAATTCAAATGTAAATAGAATTGGTTCTATGATGTACGCTAAAATGGAATGTAGATCTTGGCACAAGACATTGATGAAAGCTGCACGCCATGAAAAGTCAATGGGAAGTAGCTATAAAATATCTCTCCAGGTTTCTAAAGTAGAAACTAAATCAGGTTAACTACTAGACATAATTCACAAGGTATGCTGAGTGGAGAAATACGACTAGAGAACTAGGGTAATGCGTCCATAAGTTGTTAGTGGTACATTATGGCTGTCGGTTTTCATCTCTGGTTGTTAACGATGTGGGTTGTTCATTTTGAATTGCAATGTATTTCCCAATATTTGATTAATGTTAATATTTTACAAAACGATTAAACCATTCTTAAAACGTTTTTAATTCCATGTACATCATCAAAAATGTTCATTGTGAAGACCGCGATATTTTTGAAACGGTATTTTAATGCTTTCGGCCCTGTATCCATTCGTTTGGATTTTTGCCCACTTCTTTTCCACTACGAAGGTGCAGTGTAATTCGTTACTTGGCTCTACTGTTTTCACTAAATCTGTATTAAGAGGTGTGATCCAATTTGTCTTGTTAGACACTGTTGATGGACTTTAAATCCCCTATGTTTTCCTGCATGACACGTTTTCATTCATTCAATTTGGGACATGGCTCAATTTAAGCACAAGAACATGAGGCTTTTCGAAAATTATCAGTGATATGGAAATTACAATATATTGAACTACCGGGCTAATGAACCTTTAAATATCGAGATAATTCATATTGCTCACTTACAGCGTAATCCTTCGGAAAGCTGCATATTCCCAACAGCAACAGTAGTGACAATATTCACGGAAACATACATCTTTTTCACGTAGTTTTATATTTTCTATGTTATTTTTTTTTTCAAAACTAGAATTTATGTTCTAGCCAATATTTGTGACATTTGTGGTGACATTTGATATAAAAGGAAATATAGAATAGAATATTCGACGGCGATGTCTTTACATTGGTACTATAGTCAGAACTGACCTCAGAGGAATAGCTTTTTATGCCATTCCTTCATTATCCTTCACTTGACTGTTGTGTCCTATCATCATTGATATTTGGCTTATTACAAAGTTCTCTATGAGGCATCACAATGACATCAATTATACATGACACTAAATTCAATCTATACATTACGATAATTTGAAATTAATGTCCTGAATTAGCTGGTCATGCAAATGTGACATTTTGTGGCATGGGGTAAATCATATGTAGTAAAAAATCAAACGTTTCTCATATCATTATATCTAGAAATTCCTGAGGTCACGTACATTAGGAATAGCAATGTGATGGACTGTTTGGATACTCGGAGTTATATTTATTGCTCAGTCCCCAGCTGTGAAAGGGACTGTCAGACATGTTTAGCGGTATCACGAGAGATCAGGCCTATAAATCTCTAACGAGGTGAAATAACTGACCCTCTTATATTCAGAGAAGACCATTAGAAGTTTTTTAATATATAATGATGTACAATTTTATGCAGTACCTGTATAGTAACCTGGCCTTCACTTAACACCAGTAAGCCAACATATATATTAGTGGAGAAGTTATCATGTTGCAACGTTTTCTCTACAGAACTCAGACACAGCAGGGTGGTGAATATATATATATATAGTTGGATTGCTGATTTAGTTCATATCCCTGAAACAGGCTGGCTTATATTACTTATAAAAAATGCTTTTCCGGTCTTATGTAAACAGTGGTATAGTTACAATAGGATAGCAAATAGGATTTACATGTATACTGTGGTGTAGTGAATCTAGTTTATATGTAAACAGTGGTATGATTACAATTGGACATTGGATCCAGTTTAAATAAATACACGCATATCTTAACAGCGAACAGGAAAATAGATATAAGTTTATGTATTTGCATTTTATATAAACAACAAATAAAAATATATTGTACTTTTAATTCATGTCTTATTTTCTCAGTCTTGCGGTGACAGAAGACACGCTGAGACCATTCTTGGAAGGATGGACACTACAACAGGTGTTTGACTCTAACCGACTTTTCATTGTCGACTACAAGATCCTGGAAGGTCTTCCCTGTAAGAACGATAATTACATGGTGAGAATAAATCAGTTGAAATTGGCCTAGTTTTTAACCTCTCTGATTTGTACATAGGGATATAGATTCTTGAGTGCCTAACCCATTTCATTCATCAAAATTTTAATATAAGAGTATCAAGGAACATCTTCATTATGTTAGTAACGTATATTGAAAAGAGGTTCCTATAACACAACCGAGAAAGAAATTAGGTCTAACGTTCCAATGACTACACTGTCAGTTTGATGACAATGAAATCATAAGACGTTTCGGCCGTGGTAAAATCTTACGTACACTTAGTTTGAAAGTAGGTTGACGAAATGACGATAAGATTTTAGTGAAACAAGTCTCGTACACTGTAGTATACCTCAAGGCATATACGCTCCATACTGGTCATTCTGATGAACATGACAATGTCACACATAATTTTTCGAAGCGTTCTGAAGAAGGTGACAATTTAGTTATAAAAACGTCAAACATAATTTTCGAAATTATCATTTTAATTATTAGTGTTCAAAACATCTGGGGAGACCGTGAGAAACGTGTTCATATTAAAACATACAAAGTTTATATGTAATAATTGCAATGCAGAGGTCATAAATTTCACTTCAAATAACTGAGCAATACTAAGTACATATTTGACATAATTTGGTCATAATGGTTTGACGGAAACCTTAATAATCTGTTTACCAGGTATGTGCCCCCCTGGCACTGTTCTTTTTGAATGGCGAACAACACCTGGTTCCCATAGCGATACAGCTGAAACAAAAACCTGCAGAAGACAATCCGGTAAGTTGGTAAAAATTGATTATATCACTTTGGTTCTATATTAGAAGAAGAAGAATCCTGTTTCGGAAAAAAACATGTCATAATGTCGTTAATGCAAATATTAGATTCCATGAGTATGATCGAATGCCATGTTCCTTTATCAATACCATATACTAAACGAAGAAAAGTTGAATATCTATCAATAAAAAACAGCTTTACTCTGGTTGTTTGAACTTTAATGTAATTTAAAAAACGATATTTTTGTAAATATCTTTATCAATTTTTATCGTACTTCAATAATCAAACAATAGTAATATTTATTTAATTTATAATCAACATTATAATGACTTTCACTTATTACAATATTCACGCTATGTATATATATATATATATATATCACAAAAGGATATGTGAGGTCATTACGTAAGGAATTCGAGATCTGTTTGATAACATGCCTTTGTAGTAAATTGCGGTGAGGAGTTATGTGTACGTGTGTGTTTTCAGGTTTTCCTTCCCACAGATCCACTGTGGACGTGGATGATGGCCAAGATGTGGTTTAACAATGCGGATGCATCCTACCATCAGTCCCTCACACATCTAGGTATGAAGGGATAGTAATAAGGGAAATAGTGTTGGTATCACGGGAAGGGAAACTATTCTATAATTAGATTTTTGTTTTAACTAACAATTTAAAAGAAATGTTTTTTTTTAGAATGTAGTTGCTATTGATATACACGTATCAAGAACTGGTCATAATAGTTGCTTCGAAGATCATATGCACAGAGTTGATTTACGTTTTAGATATGACTAATTAATATAGTTACCTCTTACACAATACACCGTTTTATGAAGTAACAGTAACTCATATTCTATGGATATATGTATACTTACCATAGCTTACCAAAACCTGTTGTAGGGTTTACCCATCTTTTGATGGAGGGAGTGGTAGTAGTGACACACCGAAACATCTCTCAGTCACACCCGCTGTTTAAACTCCTGGCTCCTCATTACCTGTATCTCATAGCCATCAACACGTAAGTCATTCCTTTCTTCCATATCTGATGTGCGTAAAATACAAAATATGAAGTAACGCGAACAGTATTAATTCTGTAATAAAACACTTTTACATGTTTTTATTTGTAGGCGTGGCCTTGAGTTACTGGTATCAGAAGGAGGCTGGGTCGATAAGACCATGAACATTGGCATAAAGGGAATGTTTGAACTCATCAGGCGAGGGTAGGTGTACTAAAACTGTTGAACAATTGTTTTAAAAATAGGATAAATGTAAACCATTGTTCAGCTGTGAGATTGAGATCTAAATTAGATTTGAAATCAGGTGGATGTTACCTTTTGTATGTTAGCTTACTGTTCGAAAAACAAATGAGATTATCTGGGACTGAAAACTCGCATATGCGGACAGAAGAATATGAGTTAACAGATAATTTTCCTGTAAGAACTCAATTGCATCAAAAAAGAGTCAGGTGTTGGCGAATTCTTTGGTGGAGAAACATTAAGGCAGCAAAAACATGACGGTTCTTCACCAGTAAGACACAGCAAATTTGAAACAATTTGCCGATACCTTTTTTCTGCACATTGTAACTTGTTTGAGTCATTAGAACTTGCTGCTTTGAACAATTTGTTTATTTTGTATAGGATCAACGTTTGGAGAATGGACCAGCACGGCACATTGCCAGAAGATTTAAAGGCTCGTGGGGTAAGACTTGTTCACGTCAAGATCTCTCATTAAAATCATGAAAGAGTGGTTAGGCTTCATAGCCCAAATTTGTTTGATTAACCAGTTTATCTTCCTTCAAAAAGCGGAATTATTATCAATTATCATATAGCAAATAATAATTAATTCTTTAAACAAAATTTGACTTTTCTGCTCAAAGAAATATGCCGTTTGATTGAATCCTTGTCTATTTGAATTAAAAAGTATTGCCTAAGAAATAGTTATCTTCTGTTTTAGATGTTGAATTCCAAAGTGTTGCCATGCTACCATTTCCGAAGTGATGCTCTCCCTTTGTACTGGGCGATCAACACATACGTCAAAAAATACGTGAATCTTTATTATGGTGAGTCAACTAACGAATCCTAGAAAGACGGAACAACTGTATGGAGCAGTTTAAATCATTACTTGACCCTACTCTATCTAAATTTGAAATTATGTTGAAATATGCTTTCCACTCGTGTGACTTTTGTGCAGTCGGATATATAATTACAATGTGATATAAAGAGAAACTATGATATGGAATTAAACACCGATTTAATTTGACAATAACTGTCCAATATACAACGTGTGTGTTTATAGCTGAGATGAAGCCACATTTTAAACTTATTTTCTATTCCTGAAGCTAGTTCAGATGAAACACTACTTTGTCAACATATATTGACGGCTAATCAAACTGTTCAACAACATGTCATGGTGTGAAAGATAACTTCAGTACAATATTTTTCTTATTTTTGATTATTCACCATTTTTGAGATCCCAACAAAATGCTAATTGACATTTTTAACAGTATCTTTTTCGATTTAATTATAAACGCCATCATACCTGGCAGTTAGGTATTAGTGAATTAATGGATAGACATTTCTATGCAAACTAAAGTTGATCAATTATGTTTGAATTTATTAAGAAAATAACACTGAATCTATTGTGTAACAGACACACCAGACAAGATCACTGGCGACTGGGAGATACAGAACTGGGCAAGTGAGCTGGTCAAGCCTCGTGAAGAAGGCGGCTGTGGAATACTGGTCAGTCCACTACTATTATAACATGAATTCAATGCAATTAGGAAGTTGGTGCTTTCATTTGACCTCATCTAACATGGCACTTAATTGAAATAAGGTTATACAAAGTAGAATTATGTTGAAACATTGTTTCTTCACTCGTATCGTATACACAATAAATTATACTTATGTTTACACCTGTAAGTTTTACACCTGCATATTTAACACGTATAGGGGGTCCCTGGTAATGGCAAAATTGAGAACCAGGACCAGCTGATAATCATACTTACCAGCATCATCTACACATGTAGTGTCGCCCACGCGGCCACCAACTTCCCACAGTATGACGAGTACGCCTTTCCTCCAAACTACCCTGCGTCTCTCGGTGGAAAACCTCCAACAGACAAGGTAAGTTCACAGTCCTGAAATACCAAAGCGACACATTTTTTTTTCAAAGCTGAGGAATTTCTTAGACATCTCAACATCAATGGATTTTAAAGATCAAGAGTTTAAGTATATAAAATTTCATACAAAATACATGTGGTATATAACAAATATTTGGACGACACTTTCATATACATTTTGTATTCAAATGTATGAAGTAGATGACATATTTTCATGACTCTTTATATACTTTTTAAATGCGAATGAATACATCAGAAAAAAAAATTGAATGAATTTTTATATCTTTAGACTCCCTTAGAAGAGAAAGATATTTTGAAGGCCCTCCCAGACAAACCAACAACATTAGATGTGATGGTAGTCACCAAGATCCTTAGTGACAAAGGAACAAAGAGCCTGGGTGACTTTGAAGTCCAATATATATTTGATCCACCAGCAAGAAAAATTGTTCAAGAGTAAGGACTTTTTAATCACATGTAGATTTGATCAAAATTTTTGCAAAGATATCAGTTTCACATTGAATATACAAACAAAGGTTTTCTAAATAGCCCAAGCCAAATTATTTTTTTTTTCAATAGTTTTTGTTTTGCAGTGTTACCAAAACGTACCAGTTAAACAGATTTTTAATAATGGAAAACTTGGATTTTGAAGTATATATTTTTTTTCCGCGTATTTTCCCATTCTTTAAAAATAGCAGGAAATAAGTTATGGTATTTACGATTATCAATAGTGTAAAACTTCAAAACAGTACTTAAGTAATAGATATTAAATATAGAATATTGTTACATGCATTGAATAATGATCGCTAAATAATATTTATATTAACCATTTCTGATACAATGTCCTGTTTTTTGTATACCTGATCAAATTGTAATGTGATTTGTTTCAGGTTTCGTGAAGAATTGAAGGAAATCAGTAAACAGGTAAAAGAGAAGAACAAGACGAGGAACCCACCGTATGAGTGGCTGGACCCGGAAGTTGTTCCAAACTCCATCAGCATCTGATAGGCCTAAGGCAGATGCCCCTTATTAAGGGGAGATAAACTCTGTAAAACCGCAAGAAAAGGATAACTCAAAGGGCTAAATGTGTTCGACAAAACTAGAAACATGGATTTCAACAAGATAAAAAGATGAATTTTAAAAAATTGGGTATCATGTTGTTGACGTTGCTTTGAGTAACAATGCTTCAAAAATGTGTGTAGCTTTCAGCGCTATGTGTATATCTCAACCTACTTTTACACTCTTTCTTATAAAATGCACGAGACAATGGCATTTAAGAAGATTGATGATATGTCGAGGACATGATAAGAAGTATGAAGCAGCAGATGAAAAGTCATAGGTGATAAATTAAAAAGCACAATAGAATTGAGATGCATCCAGTTTTGAATTGGCAAGATAGATTTTTTCACAAGATGTGTTAATATATCACGATGTCAAGGTTAAGGTGATACGTTAAATGTCATGTGATGAATCAGCTGATATTGTCGTGTTACTAGCAGAGAAATTTGTCATGTGATGAGCTAGGTGAAATTTTCATGTTATAAAGATAATGCACTGTTACCAGGTGTCATTATAGTGTACAATCGATATGGATACAATTTGGATGACAGATAAATAGAATGTCACCCAATAGGGCGATATGATCATTAATCTGTCACCCAAATTGTATTCACATCGACTGTATATTTCCATCTTTCAACAGTTCAATGTTTATATTTACATTCATACAATATTTCCATCAACTAAAATAATTTCCCGTTCAAACAAATACTGATGTCATTATGTTGAAAATCCAAAAAACAGCCGAAATGCTTTAGTTTGCCTTGTCATTATAAATAGCATTCGCATGAAATATTACAGTCATTTTTTAAAATCTCAGCAAAATTTCACTTAGCGATGTGTCTAGTGTTTCATCAATAATTGTTTCCATTTTGTGACATGGAGTGGATTGATGTGATTTTTTTGGGATAGAATAAGCATGACCCATTGAAATTATCACTGGAAGTCGACCCAGGCAGTAAGTAACGACATTTTGTTTGTAACGGATACTATATTGTGTACGTGGACAGACAGATCGATCTCTAGCAGACAAAGTTGAAAAACTTAGTAATCTTGTATATAATGGCTTTATTAAGGATTTTGTGGCAAAGAACATTTTCTTTTATAGTTTTATGACTTTTTAAAGTTATTTATTTTTGTGACGGCCCCTTACTTAAGTCAAACAACTTCGGACATCTTAGCATATTGATACCGAAAACCACCGGTGGCCATTTTTTGTTTACCTGGGTAACATCTATGGCCAGCCCAGTAAACAAGATGTGATGAGGCAGATGAAGTGCCATGTGATGGCCTGGCTGTGACGTGACAATCCAGAGGCTATAACGTTACAAGCTAGATGGTAACATCATGTGATAAGCTTGGTGAAGTTTCATGTAATTCCCAGAAAGGTCATATAATGAAGGGTAGAGTTATGTCATTTAGCTAGTTATTTTTCATACATGCACGAGGTGTCAATTGGTATGCTTTGTGATATGTGATATGCTTTATATGAAACATGAGACAATTATAGTAAGATCATTTTTATCGACATAACTTGGTACAAAAACTTGCACACTACATTTTTTTCCTGAAGAAATGTTTTTTAAGTCTGTTCTTAAGCTTAAGTCATTTATTAATATGTTCCTTAAAACGCACTTTGTGTATTTTCTGAATGCACAGCTGTGATAAAACATCGTCATCAAAAATAGACCCAAAATAATTTTCCTATATCATATGTTATCATCTTTTAGTACTTATGCTTTTTTGTACTATATGTAGTGATGTCTATTTGTCCATGTTTCAGGGTATTTACTCTCTATTCTATCAATTATATTCGCAATCTTTGTGGCCAAATAATGTATACCTTAATAAATTGCATTGATATTCCCTTTAGCAATAACTCCATATTGTACAGTAATTGCATACTTTTATCAATCACAATGGTGTTCTGTTCCTATATGTGAAAAATTGCGATGCTTTTAAATCTGATTTCCAGATAGCAATTCCTGTTTCAGTACGTGCAATTTTTGTCCTGTGGCGACGAAGGAGTGGAAGCGAGATTAAAGTGTTGCTTTTGCGTCAGTATCCTAATTCAACGTGGTGCTCTTATTTGTTATGTTGTTAGATATTACAACTAACATAAGGTCAAAACAAGAGATGTGGTCCATCTCTAGGCGGAAATATGGAACTTTGTCGCCTTCAAAAAATGCAAAAAAGATGGTTTATACCTTGTGAAAACAATACACTTTAAGCTGATAGTTTTACTCACTCATCGGAATTCTTTATTCAGGCATTATTTGTTTTATACTTCGTATCTTCTAAAATTGTTTAGAATTTGTGAGGGGTTTTCTCAGAAAATATGAATATCTAAGAGAAACAAAATTTGGTGTACATGTAGTTGGATTTTACGATGTACATTTAACCCCATAGAAGTTTGTTTGGTATTGTGAATGTAATACCAAGAATTCCTTGCATATTTTTTCCGTTCATTTCCAAGTTCGCAAACATACTGTCCCAGTTTCATGGATACAGGGTGTCAACATTTTTTATTCCAATCGATTTATTCATGATCATGTTTTTGTTTTGATTTGACAATTTGTTTAAAATGTTAGTTTCTTTGAATTGTAGTCAACGTCATGAGCATGCTACGTCTTGCATGAAAATAAATTTCAATTTTAAACAAATGACATGTAGATTAAGTATTACCTCACTCTTTTACACTGAAGAGGGATAAATGTTATTGAATTACTTCGTAATGAGCATTTTATTCACAATAAATACAAACGTATTAAAAACTTCCATATGAGAGCAGGATGTGTATGTAACTTAACCTGCACTTAAATGTTCTAAGCTTAGATACTTACATGGTGTTTGTCCCGAGATAATTGGTTTAGATTTCATATCTTATACAGGTAGGTAAGGATAAAACAAGTCCAGAACCTTTAATTTCTTCTGCTCTTTTGATAAAAGCAATTAACGTGGATATAGACTATTGTTTAAATATATATATATAGGTATGATGTAATATGGCAATATAAAACATTTGAAGAAGAATTATTTACAGATTTAATAATATCAGTTTTAAAATTTTTATTTTTTCTACAATGTATATCTTTATGTTTGATTAGTTTTAGGAAAATGTTTTGTTAGATATGGCTATTTGTTAGAAATGCTTTCAATTTTCCATCAGTTCTTTGGTTACATCTCAGTTACTTATTTGCATAATACAACTGTTTATTTCCATCCAGTGATGCTGATAAAATGTGTTCAGCTTTTGCACATATATGTCAAAGTTTCTATTCAAAATATAACTTGACTAAATATCAAATCTTGACTTCAAATAAAAGCATAGCCAAACAATAAAATGAGTTATTTTTTGTACATATGAACTTATTTTGATGTTTGTAAAACTGGGGTTTTGTTGGAGTTATATCTAGATTAGCGGTCACAGAACATTATTTCATAACGCCTTCACGTGCATCGAATGACCGATATTGGATTACACCTCCTAAAGGACTGTATGTGGAGAAGATCACCTTTACAAAGAAAATACAGAACATTATTTCATAGCTCTTTCACGTACAATGAATGACCGATATACGATTACACTTCCGAAATACTGAATATGGAGAGGAAGAACAAAATAATGGAGCGTAATGCTCGAATCAATCATAACATGCTTTTTGATTGGCTGTGTGTTCATCACGTGATTATTGCCATCAGCATGGTTAGATGTTCTCCATTAGAAACAGAAATAAGCTCACAGACATGCATGTTCTTTACAAACCAGTCATCACCAAACAACTGCTTCCACATATGAGAGATATCCAACTGAAATGTGATGTTTAAATGACCTCAATATATTGTAGAGGATTTTTACAGATCAGTTTGACTTTGTTTGACTTTCAGGCGTCATTTAGTAAAGTCTACTATGATTTAACAACTTCAACTGGCCCTCTATTCTCAACTCAATTCAGACACATATTTTAGAATTACAAGAAACTAAGGATACACCGTCATCATGACTATGAGGAAACAATTTTAAAAATGGTACTTGCATCCGTTCCAGGAAAGGTGGCACCGATGTTAAACTTTTCAAAATATACTGCATGTTATTACATTTCTAGTCAGACCCAGGTAACTGTTTCCATCATGCACATTATCAGCGGTCAAGATTACGAATGGTCTCTGTATCTGCAGATCAAAAAATTATCTTAAGACTGAGGAAATTAAATATACAATTTTCATAACTTGGTAGCTTAATTACATAGAAACAAAGGTAAACAACGAGTAAACAAAACCGCAATTTTATCTCAGAGTGCATGAAACGAGGTCAAAATAAGAACAACGATAAAGAACAAGACTTGCTATGTGGACAACGGCAATATCTAAGAACGCTTATAGTATAGTGCTTTCCCTAGAAAATTACGGTATAAACGAAATTCTCTGTCCATGATCTACAGTATCGAAAATACATTTTTACCCATTATACGGTTCGGAAATATTATGATTACATAGATTTATGGATTAAGTCCTCCAAATTCCACATACCAAAACCCCTTTTAAAATTCACAATGTGACTTAAAAAACACCCTGATTTGATAAAACTGAACCCTTTCTGCATTGTTCGTGACAGCATTTGTGGAGAATGTACATACTTCATACAAGTGAATAGTACCCTGTCATCATGTCATTATCCGAATGAATTTAAACGTTACAGCAACCTTTGCGGACTAAACATCCACAATTAGTGTATTCCAACCGCAATCACGAAGATTGAACATCAGACACAATCGGATGCAAGTCAGTTTGTGATGGAAACCTACCTTTTGTTATATCACCACCAGGTCGACGCCCACGTATAGTATTGCTCTTTGATACTACTGCATCCTAGTATAGAGCAAATTTGACACTGATAATTCATGGTATGGATGTTCTTGGGAAGAGGTAATTAGTGTACGGGTGGAGTTCCACACGTGGTGGCTAAATTTGAAAATGTGTAAACCTCCAATTTTGTCCGTAATAATTGATATGTGTATTTCAACACCAATATTCACAAAGCTCATATCAAGGTCTGATTTTGTCATGTTTTTCCAGCCGTATTATTGGCGATTGTGGTTTTAGCGTTGGCTAATCTAATGGTACAACAGAGGTTACATCACGATTGGATTCTCTCTGTATTACATATAATTGTTGTTTACCAAGATTAATGGACTGATAACCGAAATATAGCATCATATTCCATTTGAAAGTTAACAACAACAACGATAATACTAAAATTTCAACAAAGTCTGTATCCATACTTTGATTTAATAAAACTAAGACAAAACATGAACAATTTTTTTACATAAAGAGTCCTGAAAAGCATAAGGAGAATAAAACTAGGTGTTCCGAAAGAGAAAGCGCGTTCTACTTCATCAACGACTACCGCCGTGTAAATCATGGTCCATCTATGTTAGTAATGTCACATTTTCATATGAGAACAATGCTTACAATAACGGACCAAACAACCAAACTTGCAAGCATCAAGCATGTCTAGATTAATGTCGTATAAAGAAGTATGATTGTTCTCAGTGAGCTCATCATGACCACCGAAAAAGTATCCATCATTTTCATTAGCATGCATCTCTCGAAGCTCTGAATTCATCTGTTAGCTACCAAAATCCTGAAAGGAAATCCTGATATGAAGAACAATCCTTTAAGTATCAAATCAGCTCTAGTTTTATAATGCACAGATGGTACAGTCCAATAGAGAAATTATTACGCTTATCACACATCTTGTCAGAAAACTGTCCCTATCGATTTCGTTGTTGTCTGAAAGGATCGATGTAGAGGAGTCAAAGGGTGTCATTGGTGTCAAATATATAATAAACGATGGACGTAATTACAAAATTTCTTGTTATTTAAAGTCAAAATGCTGATATGTCTGAAAATAATATTGAAGAATCTCGCAAGGTCCTTGTGGCCAGTTTTGATAACTTCTCCAATACAGAACAAAATCAGTCAACTGAAGGGCACGTTTTGTTCCCATAGTTATCCAATGACTCATTTCTGTCGATATATGGAAATTTCTTTTTTCTATACACATCAAAAAGATTTTTCACTTAATGCTATATATTTTTGAAATAACCACACCTTGTACATTCCTGAGCAGAATACACCCATCTATCTTTGTAAATGCAGTTCAGCTCCACTTAAAGTCAATTTTCCCTTTGACATCAATGCTACCCATCTATGTGCTCCTTATTTATCCTATAAACTTCCCTTTCCTTTAGCTGTCTTTTTAGATACTACCTCCTTTCCCCTTTCAAAGCATTCCTTACTATTTCTTCAATTGACAAGTCATTGTCAGTTTCTATATTTACACAGGAGACCGATTTATATGAGTTATCACTATTTAATCTGAATCAATCGAGTGTTTATTGTATAATGTTTTGGTAAGATGTAATAAAATTTAACCTGATATCAAAATGTCAAGTGTGATAGTGACATGACGATGAAAATTGCTGGTAAAATTCAAATAAATATGCATACAAGTTTAAAAAAGGAATAAGAAAGAAAAAAAACATCAATTCGCGTACATCGAAATAGGTTTCCTTAAGTAGAGTATGACGGCGACTAAACGATTTCCCTACACAGTCTCCATCAAACCACTAATGCCTGGAAATTTGGTATTGAAAGTTGAATCATATGCAGTCGATATTAGTCTTGGGAATAGTGATGTCAAGAAAAGTACTGTATAAGATAACAACCATGCATGACTAATGTAAAATACACGCATTTATTCATATCTATATAAAGGAATTCAAACGGAATACTAAATTGATACGACTTTCAACAATTTATCAAAATAACCCACTCAAATACGTCAGGTTATGAGGCGTTTATAATTCAGTAAGCCTTGAGGGCAGAACACATCATTTATACAGTCTGTTTGTAGAAACGATATGATAATCAAGTGTTCTGGTTCATTGATTTAACAATTCGCGTAGAAATATTTCATGTTAGATATTAATGTGGATTTTTTTTCTGTTAGTGTCATCGCTGATGCTCTGTGTTGTTTTTATCTACATGTGTATTTTTTTAATAGTCGTAATTGTCATTCCCGTTAAGGATTTTTGCGTTAAAATTGTCCACTCGTAAAATGAAAAAAACATTGCTCTATATAATTAAGATGTATGGAACAGTATAACTTTGTCGTGAGTTTTGTCATTATGTTTTTTTTTTTATTGTTTTTTTTTGTTTGTTTTTTTTTCTGGCTCCACACAAACAATGATGTATTTGAAGTACATGATTTTATCTTTCGTACAAACAACAGTTCTGTCAAAGGTCCCCGTAGGATATTATTGGTACAGTATGACGGATGACTGCAGTTTGTGTTGTGTCACCTCGATATGATGTACCAGTCACAAGGTGTGCAGGTAAGACGCCTCAATCTTCCTACCCTATTCCTGGGTAAGTGGCGCATGACTCCCTACGTCTCTGTGATCTCTGATGGTACGCCAGTAAGAGACGGGGACCTCTCCGATCATGGGCTAACAGACAACTGCTCTTTTTATCTAGAAAATACATCCACGACATCTTAAATACACACAGGTGAAAAAGACTGATCAGGTGAGTGAATATACATTTGCGATAGATACATGTTTTAAATAGGTAGAGTAATTTCTCTTGTTAATCGCAAACTTGTTTAGTTACAAATCTTTTTGCGAAGTAACTTATTTTTTAAAAAGAGAAATACATAATGCATATGATTCTTCAAAAAGTAGTCTGCAGACAGAAATATGATATAAATTTTCATGATTTTCAAACAAATCGTCAGTTATTCAATATTGAACTCATAACAACACTTTGCACAGTGCAAATGAACAGGATCCGCAAACAAGTTGTAGCAACTTATATAAATCCTTTTCCTGAATTTTTAATGTGATTTCATACAAAAACACAAACATTACCAAGCCTATGGACGTCGGCTATAACGATATTTTTGATTTATTTTACACCTGTGAAAATAAGTGTAATGCAAGTCGTATGTGACCGGAGTGAGGTATGAAGTGGTAACAGAAAACGTAGTTGTATTGCATAATCATCTTGAACAGAGAGAAGAACAGTGTAATTAAATAGGTCGTAATCGGATACAGAACTGAGTGTGTGTTCTATGTGACTATTTAGTTACATCACCATTAATCTGACGACGTTGCAAAATTACAAATAGAACAAAAATATACTAAATATGTTCTACTGAATTATTTGTTTCATTAATATTTACATGAGAAAATCAAGAATATTTGAAATGCGCGAAAAAGTTTTCCGACCTGAAAGATTCATTTTGATATCTGTGAACCTAAAAAA